CGGCTAAATCATGGAACGATAGTGATATCCTGCATAGGATCAGTCACGCAATTGTACTTTGGGCAAAATTCACCTGAATTATAACTAGGCCAGTTTTTTTTTTGGCACTGCTAAAAACGCCTACAGATTCAGTGAATTCAATAATCTAAATCATATTTTAACTGCAGTAAAGAAATGAATATATCTCGAATATGTGATTGCGCCTATCAAGCATTATGCATATCTTGGATTAGATTAACGCCAAAAGGTAGAGCAGTATTCCACCAAAAATTATCAAAAGCTCTGGATTCCTTTGGCACTCTCAGAATATTATTTTTGTCTCTCACCTAATGATCGAGTGCTGCTCAAACTCTGTAGTATACTCTTCCTGAAATGTGATGTTTTTTTATGAACACAATATTAAGCGTTCAGTTTCCGGGAGAAAAATAAAACCATTGATCGCGATTTTTCGATTATTCAACCGCGAAATTCGTCCAATAATGATTGTGTGCATCGAAGCAACCAATCAGATCTGAAAATTTTACAAAAAAAAAAATCCTTGATTATAAATAGTCTTTATAGTTGGCTAATCGTAAGCCTTTTTCAGTCTGAACATTTATGTTCTTAGTACATTTCCGCTAGTCTGTTCATTCTCCTAAACGTCTAATCGTATATCAAGAAAATCGCATTGTTTCTGCGAAGACATATTACTGAATCATATTTCCGTCATTACGCCATCACTAATGTTCACTTGCTGTCAACCAAATAATGCTCTCTAAAGTTATCTTATATATATCTTGGATTAGTATACATTTAAAGTAATCTTACATTCATTTTCGTATTTCGCTAACGGTCATCACTTCCTATTAAAGAACATTGATATCCTTCATCATCACAAATATGTATCGGTGAACTTCCGACACGCCATCATTAAAGTGCAGTCGGTACCATTCTTGGCGAAACATTTTGTTGAATTGAATCTAACTGAAATGCCATTTCCCGGCGAAGCGTATTAATCATCTAGACAAACGTTCATTATTCATTATTCGCACTTTTACATCAAACAATCCCTTCGTTCATTCATTGTTGATAGTGTTGATCCAGACGAATGGTTCGAATTTCACAAAGCTGATTCGTATACTTTCATATTATGTCAGTGGACATCAAATCCATTCGGCTACCTCAGCGCTCCGTTGACTTAGCAATAGCTTTGTTTCTCTATATTCAGCGAATAACCTTGTGCCATAATAGCATATCATCCCAATGGATAGCCAATGAAACGGCACTATCATCCATACCGTTATCGGTATCGCTATCATTGTCATCATTAGATCTTTGTCGTCTCATCACTGATGCGGCACCAATCGCTACTGATGACTATCATCAAGAGAATAACTATTTCTCTTGATTTTTTTTATTTTCCAATTAATTTTGTTATCATCATTGATATCACCTCCACCACATTTCATTAAGCTAGTTCAACTCCGTCTATCACTTCGCGAAACATTTAAGACAGCGTTTGCACTGTTAGCAGTTTTACGTGAGCAAAAAGTCTTCGATTCCTTTCCTTGTGCTCTACCAATTAACATTCGATCAAATTAAACCAACTCCTGTAGCATCTGTTGCATTCATTCATCGATTTTNCCAATTAACATTCGATCAAATTAAACCAACTCCTGTAGCATCTGTTGCATTCATTCATCGATTTTACATTTATAGATGCTCATTATCAAACGACCGAAACGAATCTTCATAAGAAATCTAAGAACTTGAATTGAAACGAAATCAAAGAGCATCCGGAAAATTCTCATTAAAAACGTCTCAATTTCAGAAATGTATGGAACTTGTCAACAACAACACTCTTCATTTCTTGCCGATAGTGCTCCACCTACACCGCCTACACCGAGCTCGCCTGCTTCATTTACGAGGTAATTGTTCGGCTGCGAATGCTTCTGTTTATCTCTGTTTATCATTCACCTCGCGTATAATTGCTTTCATTTCGCTGAGTTCCCGTCTGACCATGATGATAGCTTGAGATGAATATTAATTTACACAAAAAAGCAAGCGATTTCTGGAATCGTCTGTATCCTCCATGGCATCACATCATCTTGGGGCATTTTTTATTCTGTTATCAATATCTCACACTCAGCCATATTAACGGTATTGGACTATAGGCGATCCTATAAAATGGCCATGCCAGATCATCACTTATGGTCTAATCCGTGTAACAAACACATTCTCCCAGCAGCTCATAAACGAACAATTCAATTCAATAATGTTCTTACAAATCATCATTCAATGTTCAGTAATGTCTTCTCATTTCGCTGTTTTGATTGTCAATTTCGTCAGTCATTTTTCATCAGCTGAGTGTTTTTTTCGAACTCTACATAACTTTCCTAGGTAATTCTCATTTATTAAACGAACAGCTGTTAGCCAGTCTTGCGAAGTGAAAAGCACACTGATGAAAACGATTCTACTCAGTCATTTTCTGACATTTATCACTCATCATTCATCAACAAAACATTCAAACAATCGTAAATCTTTATTATCATATGCTCAATCCTATTATCTCATCAGTTCTATTAGTTTTCGTATGATTATTTTGCTGTTAGGTTTTATTGTGCTCAGAGCATTCTAAATTCATATTTTACATTACTGCATGCTTTATGAACACTTAATATTTCAAGTCGTAATGGAATGACAGCTCGATTGCTCTGTTTGATTTCAATGAAAATTGCAAATGCAGACA